TTTTCACCTTTTTACTTGTACCTGAAAGAAAAACACACAAATACCTTCCATTAAAGATCAATATCTAAAAAATAGGTATAAAATGTGTCTAAAAACTTTATATATTTTAGGTGCATAAAGGTGCAAGTGGGTTTACAAAAAGAAATCAACAGTACCAAAAAAGAAGAGGAAAAGTTCAAGGCTGGAATTGGTAGCAAAGGATTTTTCACAACAGAAAGTGATAGATTATGATGAAATTATTTCTCCAGTGGTCAGACATACTTCAATCAGGGTAGAGCTTGCATTAGTAGCTATTTGGGATTTGCATCTGGAGCAAATGACTGTTAAAAATGCATTCTTGTAAGGTGATTTAGATGAGCAGATTTACATGGAGCAGCCATAAGGGTTCACTCAATCTGAATAAGACCATCTGATTTGCAGATTAAGGAAATTGTTGTATGGGTTAAAACAATCTCCAAGACAATGGTATAAGTGGTTCGACTCCTACATGATTCAGATTGGCTACAAGAGATGTGAGTATGATTGTTGTGTCCATGAGCCTTGATGATGGTTCTATTATTTTTCTGTTACTGTATGTTGATGATTTACTGATTGCTGTAAAGAATATGCATGATGACTTTGGTTTGAAAGCTTTATTGAGCTAGGAATTTGACATGAAAGACTTGGGTCCTACAAAGAAGATACTTAGAAAGAAGATTCATCGAGGTAGAAGCTCAAGACGATTATGTTTATCTCAATGAGGCTATGTTAAGAAAGTGCTGGACATGTTTGAGATGAGCAAAGCAAAGTCTGTGAGCACTACATTGGCAAATCATTTTGTGATTTCTTCATAACAGTGTCCTAAGACAGATACAAAAATCGAAGACTTAGCAAAGGTTCCAAATGCCAGTGCAGTTGGTTGCTTGATGTATGCAATGGTATGTACTCGCCTTGATTTGACTCATGTTGTTAATCATGTCTGCAAATACATGTCTAAACCATGAAGACAACATTGGGAAGCAGTCAAATAAATTTTTAGGTGTCTAAAGGGTACTGTAGAACATGTAATTATTTTTGGCAGTCAGCAGAATAATCCTTCAGTTATGGGGTACGTTAATTCAGACATGTAGGTGATCTGGATGACATAATGTTTACAACTAGGTATGTGTTTACTCTTGGTGGAGGGTCTATAAGTTGAAAATCAACAATTCAGTTTATTGTGGCATTATCTACAATTGAAGCTGAGTACATGACAGTAGATGAAGCTGCTAAAGAATCCTTATGATTTACTGGGGTAGTAAAGGAACTGAGTGTTGAGCAAGGTGGAGTTCAGTTGCATTGTGATAGTCAAAAGTGTTATTTATTTGGCTAAGAACCATGTGTATCATGCGAGAACTAAGCATATTGATGTCAAGTATCATAAGATCAAAGAATTGATTACTTCTAGTGAGATACTGTTGCAAAAGGTTCATACTGATGAAAATGCAGCTGATATGTTGACTAAGCCAGTTACTATCAACAAGTTCTTGCATTGCTTTGACTTTTTGAATGTTTGCAGTTGCTAGACAGCATGATAACCCAACCCACTTCGGTGCATGTGAGAAACTTCAAGGTATTTTCTTTTTCCTAAGGGGTTGGATATTCGCCAATGTGGAGATTTATTAGGTATGGCTGATACAGCACAAGGGACAAATCCTGGAGTGAAGCGAAGTGGAGTGGAAGCATCTATCCAATTGGAGGAGTTTTTCGTTATGTGGGTTGAGGGTACAGATGCACGCCTCCGCGATACGGTACAAGGGTAATTTTGTAATTAAATATTGTACTCCAGACCCAAGGAATTGTGTTTTGTACTCTTTTCTGAATTGAAGGAAAAGTCGTCGCTTTGCTCTCGAGGACGTAAGCATCTTTGCCGAACCTCGTTAAATTTTTGTGTTCTTCTTCTGGATTTGCGTTTCTTTGTCCTAAATTTCTCAACAGATTAGTCATGAATTTAGCATAAATTCAACCAAAAATTAAAAAAAAAATTTAAAGAATTGAATTATGAATTTAGAGTAAATCCAACAAACATAAAAAAAAAACAAAAAAAAAAAAAATACAATGCACCGTTAAATCGAAATCACCTTCCGTATTTTTTTCTTGTGTTTCTCGTGTTCCGTTTCTTTTAGGATGTAAATCCGGATTTATCTGATTGTGAGACGGATTTAAGAAATTCTTCCTGTCATCACTATCAGAATGCCGATCTGATTTAAAAAATTTTATAAATCCTTTTTAACATAAATTCCGGCTTTAACTAAACATACCTTAGAAGTAATTCACTACTGAGAGAGCATAGTCTTGAGAGACAGCATAATCTTGAGAAACAGAAAGAATCACCCAAATATGATTATCATTCCCTACTTCAGTAACAGTTGTTAGAAACTACCTCCTCTTTACTCAAAACTTGTATCAATTAGATCTGTTCGGTGGCCCCTATATTTTCTAATTTAATTCACAACATCCTGCTTTGTTGCCATCGTTGCTTGCTTGCTTTCTTGTCCATCTTGATCTAAGCTAATCTCAGCCTGCCTCCGCGAGTCAAATCGAACTTAAAAAACATTGTTTGGCGTGCACTATTGCCATTGTCATTGTGTGGCGTGCACTATGTTATGGCGTACACAATTAAGTTCATCACCCACCATATCTACACCTAACCAAAGTTGATGAACTCTTAACAAAATCCAGATCAAAAGGCCTAACTATTCTATCACTAGAGTAGTGACTCATATTTTTGCTGTCCGAAGCAGAGAGAAACTTGTCTGATTTACTGATTTAAACTCCCAGTATTTTAAATGGAAACTATATTTGCGCAGTTGTGAGCTTTTGTCCAGCCGATTCGGGCCAGATGGCCATGATTTTAGTCCGAGCATCCAATGGCAGAAAAAGAGTTATCAGTGGGAGAAAATATTACATCAGTACTCTGGGCGTAATTTGCGTCCGGAGTCCAATAGTGAGACGTCACGTGTTAAGTGGGCCCACTGCAATACACTGACATTGACTAGTGTTAAAAGTGATGAGACCCATTTGACAAGCGGCGCCTCACTATTGAGTCACTCAATTATGGAGGATTCTAATTCCTAGCTGGCAAATAACATTAAAGTTATCACACCTATTCAAGCACTTCTTGTAGTCATTATTTTCAAAAATTATGCATTATCTTAGTAGTCTTATGGCAAATATTGAAGTATAATTAAACTTAAAATTTGTCGGATAGGAAAAAAAATTAATTCGGTAGTTAATACTATCAACATCTTCTCAATTTTACTTCAAACCTCCTAGATTTAATAAATCAAAATTTATAGGATTCACTAAATCTACCCAAAAACTTCTTAGTAAACTAAATAGACGAAGAACGATATACATGCACATCACTCAATTCTTATCTATTTACATATCTAACACCCAAACTTCAATTTTTAAATATCACCTTATCTATGCCTAAGAAATTGTGATCCACATTTTAAAAGTTAAAATAATGGCATTTTATATAGATATATGTAAATACATAGGAATTGCATGGTATTTATGTAATCAAACGCCCCCATAAATTAAACAAACGCACGGATTCTCAATAATAAATGATGCCACGAAGAAATTCAAGCTTTATGAAGTAGTAATTCACCATATTCTATTGAAAACAAATCAAAAAAGAAAAAAAAAAAATAAAAAACTCAATTTTACGTGGGTCCAGGCTAGCAAACCTACTCTGTTGAGCGATCCCTCACGCAGTTACTCGGTCGACGTCGCTGCCTTCACGTTCTAATTTGACGCCCGCTTTTGAAGGAGATATCATGCCTTTAACGTGGTTCGGGTTTTTGTATTTTTATAATATCTTTTAGGCTAAGCTTGTGATGGGTGGGCCAACTTCAGCCCCACATCTCATTCAAATTGCCCTCTCCTCACTCTTTAATTGCCCGCTCCTCACGCTTTCCGTTTAGCAAAACCTTTGTTGGCCTGCCTATCTTCACTCCAAACTTCTCCAAGGTCCACCGAACTCCACGTGGACACATTGTTTTTTTCATTATTATCCCTCAATTTCTATATTCTTACACATATCCAACACCTAAAATTCATTTTTTTCATACATGCACCTTACCATGCTTGGAAAAGTGCATTTCACGTCTTAAAAGTTAATATAGTGGTCATTTTGATGTGATAAGAATGATTTGAGTTGAATAAATGTGAAAGGTAAAATTTAGGTGGTAGATATGTAAAAATATAAGAATTGGGTGGGATGTACGTAAATGCCCCTTCTTTCTATATCTCTCCCTTGGGGTCTCCTTTTTTAGCATCTGCCAATACGGGTATATTACGGTGGGGCCCACTTGACATGTGATGACTCACTATTGGACTCCAAACGCACTCTCTCCGCTGGAGATTTTTTTTTTTTGTTTAGCATTTCAGTTTCTCTTCTGTCTATATTTAATCAGATGTAGAAAAAGTAAGTAAATTAGAAACATAATTAAGGATGAAAGATAAATTTACTGTTACTGTTCAAAGCAGTGAAGAAATTGATTTGGTTGTGAGAATAGAGAGGATTTTAGGTGGGCTTTTTGTCGAGCAATGCAATGATATTCACTTCTGTCGGTATAAAAATGAAAAATACTTATCAAGCTCATACTAATTTATTTATTTATTTTAAAATATCAGCTTATTTTAAAATGAAATTAAAAAAGAATGAATGACATTCTAATGATTACCTCACTCTACTCCGATATCTTATCGGTCACTTCCAAGCCAAACAAGCCTTGCTGCCTTAGCCCCTTGAAAGCGAATTAGATATTGTCACTATATGTGAGAAGTAAGTGTGGAGAGTATAACATCCATCAAATATTAATTTTTGAAAAGATACTCATTTCACATGCCAAAATAACAAATAGATACCCATAATTTAATATGTACATAATTAAAATGATATGATGTTAGCCCACCAAATTCTCATAAATCAAAATTTTCTTATTAATAAAGTGTGGGTTCTTAAATGTGCTTAACTTGTGGGGGTTGTATAAACATTGCCGTTAAAATATTTATGCTTTGTTTACGCTCAGCCTCGGATTTAATAAGCAAACTCCAACTCATTCATCACTATACTTGCTAACGCTTTCCACCACACTTGCTAATATATACATCGTTCCGATTGCGTTCACTCTCGCTTCCTCTACTTCTTCCCCCTGCACTCCATGGATTCTACAGAAGAAGCCATGGTAAACCCCCACGTCTTGAAGGGAAGAAGAACCAAGCGGCAGAGGCACTTACCGGTGGCCGCTGCTCCGGCCTCTTCATCTTCCTCGGAGGAGGAGGACATGGCCAATTGCCTCATACTCCTCGCTCAAGGCCCGCCGCCGGATTCCGCCATCAAAGAAACCGAAGAAATTGGAGCGGAGAAAAAGCCAAGCAGGGGAGTCACCGGATTTGGCAAAGCAGGATTTTTTTTGCACGAGTGCAGGACGTGCAATAAATGCTTCCCATCCTACCAAGCGCTCGGCGGTCATCGGACAAGCCATAAGAAGCCTAAGCTGACCATCCCGTCGGTGGGGGAAGATCAAACAGGGGAGATCGGAAAGGAGTTGATTCAGTTAAACATCAATTCTTTCTCCAACTCAAAAATTGGAAAGATCGCGAGAGTCCACGAGTGCTTAATATGCGGCTCAGAATTCTCATCCGGACAGGCACTTGGCGGCCACATGCGACGGCACAGACAGACGAGCATGCCGGAAACTGTGGAGGAGAAGAAGGCCGAGAAGAGTAGTATTGTGATGACTTTGGATCTCAATCTCCCTGCTTCCGACGATGATTACTGTTGCAGTGGCGGAGGTGAATTGCCGACATCTTCATCAACCTTCTCGTTTGCGAGCAAGCCGCCGCTCCTGATGTCGACATCGGCTCTTGTTGATTGCTTCTACTGATTAACAATTGGAAGATGCCACTTTTATTTAACTTCTTAATTTTCACAGTGCCATATGAAATTTATAAATTACATGTATTCTCTTATCTTTCACCGATTGTTTATGATTGTTGGAATTTTTTTGGATGATAAGCCGGGGAGATTTTTTAATGGGGATGGTATATAGTGAAAGTTCAAAAATAAAAATTGCTCCTTTTTTATATGATGGTGTATTGATTCTTGTACTTTTTTTTATAAAATTTCTATCTTTGCTGTAATGATTAATTAGGCATTAAAACGAGTTTAATGATAAAGGGTACAACGACAGGAAGGTTAAATGTAGACGCTTGGGATGGGATTTCAGTTATTGCAACTTAAAGAGGTCAGTTTCTATTATAATTCCTTCTCCGGCTGGTTTCAGTTGGACGATAACTTCGAAATTGATCCATGTTCAGCTGCTTTACACGCAAGTGAGAATTGCGGGGGGCAAGTTTTATTATTATTTATTTATTTATCTTTAAACAGCAATCCATTGTAAAATGAAGTGCCAACTTCAACCTTTTTGGCAGCATCACGGAAGTGTGCGATTCGGTTGTAATGGAATTTCAGGGATTTGCTCTTTTTTTTTTATTAAAATGTGGTACAAAAATGGGCAACGAGACAATAAAGATATAAGGGAGATTGACATAGTACAATTCTTATCATTGTCATATCTAGCGGTCAAAATTTGATATTTACGCTTAAAAGCACTTCAGTGTCATAACGCTATGATAAAGCTATGTGAAAATAAAAATGTATTTTATTTTTAAAAAGTTAGTCATGAGTGTTAAAATATTCTTATAATCATTTTAGATTCTTGAGCTATATTCGATCCATGATTTTTGAGTGGTGGTGCATTGGTGTTGGATTTTGCAATTTTTGTGATTTTCTTTAGTGATGGTGTTGTGATGACTTGTTCTGTGATTTTGGCAAGAGCATTATTTGTGTTGTGATGTTGGTGGTTATTGTGATGAAGATGAACATTTTTGGATGGTTATGCATTGACGTTGGATTTTGCAACTTTTGTGGTTTTGGTTTTTACAGTTTTCTTTAGTGGTGGTGATGTGATGAGTTGTTATATGATTTTGGTGAGAGCATTATTTTTGATGTGATGTTGGCAATTACAGTGATGATGAAGAAGATTGATTATCCTTGACTGACCTTGTGATGGGTTGTTCTGAAATTTTATACAGTGATGGTGGTGGTTGGCTGAATATTTGTGTTGTGATGTTGCACGATGATGTTGTGCAATGATGTTGGTCGAATATGACTGTATCGTGATGGTAGTGGTTGTTGTAGTGTGGAGGTGTTGGTGTGGAGGTGTTATGTGTGGTTATGTGTTGTGTGGAGGTGTTGGAGTGTGGTTGTGTTGGTTTGGAGGTATTGGTGGTGGTGTATGAAGGTGTCGAAGTGTTGGTGTGTGGTTGTGTTTGAGGATGTGTCGGTTGTGGCGTGAAAGTGTTGGTGTGTGGTTTTGTGTGGTTGCGTGTTGTTTGGAGGTGTGAAGGTGTTGGCCTGTGTGGTTGTGTTAGTGTGGAGGTGTTGATGTAGAGGTGTTGGTGGTGGTGTGTGGAGGTGTGAAATTGTTGGTGTGCGGTTGTGTTTGTGGAGGTGTTGGTGTTGGTGGTGGTGTGTAAAGGTGTGGAGGTGTGGAAGTGTTGGTGTGGTCGTTTTTATGGAGGTGGTTGTAGTGGTATGTGGAGGTGTGGAAGTGTTGGTGTGTTTTTGTGTGTGGTTGTGTGCTGTGTGGAGGTGTGGTGTGTGGTTGTGTTGGCTTGGAGGTGTTGTGTGGAGGTGTTTGTGGTGGTGTGTGGAGCTGTAAAAGTGTTGGTGTGCGGTTGTGTTTGTGGAAGGGTGGAAGTAGTTCTGTGTGGTTGTGTGGAGGTGTTGGTAGTGGTGTGTGGGGGTGTGGAAATAGTGGTGTGTGGTTGTGATTTGTACTAATTATTGCTTTTGTCAAATATTTATGTTCAACTTTTTCTATGCTAGTAACACAATGGTTAAGACAAAAGAAGTCAGCCATCAACAATGTGGGATAAGGAAACCAAACTCATATTTTACGACCTTTGTCTTAATGAGGTCAAACTGGAAAATAGACCCACCACCTATTTTAACAAAGGTGGCGAGAAATTATGAAAAAGGTTCAAGGAAATTATAGAAAGGGAATACACTAGGATCCAACGGAAAAACAAGTGGGATCAATTGAAAAGGGACGGAAAAATGTGGACAGAATTAAAATGAGGATCCATTGGCTTGGGTTGGGATCCAATCAAACTGACTATTGATGCTTTGGAGGAATGATGGGCTAAGAGAATGGAGGTGAAAACATATCCATGTATGACTTTCTTTTCCTGATTTTAATTTTCTGAACTGTATGAACATATCCACGCCCGTTTATATTACAATTAGTGTTAGCCACCAAGAAAATCAAATTCAATGGTATTGACCCTGATCTGGAAGAAAAGTTGGACCATATGTTTGATGGGGATGTGGCAACGGGGAGTAATGCTTGGATCTCTAGTGAGAAAGGGTTTGCAGGCGTACATAAGAACTTGGATGCTGAGCAAGTAACTGACTTCGGTGAAGGCCCTAGCCCAAACCAAAATGAAATGGAGTCCACATACAGATCAAAGAGTCCAAGATTAGAGAAAAGAAAAAAAGAATGTGTTGTTTTCATTAGAAGTCAAATATCAAAATTGGTGGCTTTATCCACCAACGACCCTGGGAGACTTCACAAGCGACCTCCATCAAAGAAGTTATCCAAGTTCTGGAGGCAAATCCAAAAGTTTAAGAGGAAATGTCATTATATTTTAACTCAGTGAAGTTGTTGGAAGACCTGACCCGTAGAGAGTTCTTCATAAAGATGACCCTGACAGTAGGATCAATTATTTACATTTTTTTTACGACAATAGAGAACTTTAATTTTATTCAGTTATCTTTGCAATATTTGCATTTAGATGTTTGTCTTTTCATCATAAACTTTGTAATTCGTTATTTGAAGTTTACTAAAGTTATTTGATTCACATGGCTTACTTGCGAATGAAATATCTTTTGTGAGAGAATCCTCATTCCGAAAATATTTTCCCGATCGCATCTCTTTCATCTAGCTCCTCCATCCTTAAAAACATTAATTTTCTCTCTCTTTGATTACATTATTTTTCTTAAGTTTGATTCAAGGACAAATCTAAGTTCAACATTTAAATATAATTTTTAATTACTACATCTCATTTGCCGTTTATTTTCTTAGAGTACCAAAAAAACATTAAATTCAAATGTTATATTTTAGGATGAGTAACTTTTATTTGTTAGAGTGTAAATATATTTTTCTTTCTTAGCGGTATTATTCAGAACGCTTTTGATTGGTTGCTTGAATATTTAATAGATTGTAAATCATAGCTAATGCATTCAACCACGTCTTTCATATTCAATTTGCCTTACTTATTTGTAAAAAAATTAAAGATTAGTTTAAAGTGCTATATGTCTTTTAATCAATTATATGATGACATATTTTAATTCGTATGTGCATTATCTTTGTTGATGTAAAATAAAACATGTTCATACAAATCACGTTATGTGTCTATAAATTAATCTTCATTATATTACTTCTAAAGCATTTGCTATACTACTTGCGTCTTATGGTTGATACTTCCATAAAATAACATCTCTTCTGGGAGAGAAATTATTGCATACGGACACCGCATACATCTCTGCATGCGGCGTCCGATCCGTCCGATCCTGACCGTAGATCTACGGTCAGGATTATTTCAGTTTTCAGGATTATTTCATTTTTTTTTTTTAATAAAATTTAGGTGAGGTATACCGAAATACATCCTGACCGAAAATCACAAGATCGGACACCGCACGCTGCGTGCGGTGTCCAATCCGAATGGAATAATTTATACCGAAATACATCCTGACCGTAAATCAGGTGATTTACGGTCAAGATCGGACACCGCACGCTGCGTGCGGTGTCCAATCCGAATGGAATAATTTTTCCTTCTGGGAAGTGGTTAAGAACTTGGGCAATTACATAGAGTCATACAGACCATTCAAAATTTACTATTTACAAATTGACCTCCCTCTTTCATCTATTTTTCAATTTCTCACTCAAATTTCAAAATACATGGTAAAACCCCCAACCCATATTTTTCATTTTTATCAAATTATCAATAGATTGATCGTGACATGCATAACTGCATAGATTTGATAATTCAAAAAAATCACCTGGAAGATTAATTTAAAAATATCAATGTTCCGGGGTAATTTACATGTAATTATCCTTATAAACATTGTCCGATTCAACATAAATATGGAAAATTACCGACATAACCCTCAAAATATTAATATTTACAAATTAAACAATCAGGTGCTTTTTCTTTAACTATCAAACAGACCGATGTATTCATGCATGCCACGATCAAGTTACTGAGACTTTTTTAATGAAAAATATGACTTGGAGTTTTTCCTTGAAATTTGATATTAGAGCAAGAAATTGAAGAATGTATGAGTGAGAGATTGATTTGTAATAGCAAGTTTCGGGTGGTCTGCATGTACTTGCCCCAAAAAGAATTTTTATAATAGGTTGTTGAATCATTCATTGTATGTATTGATGTATATAAGTAAAAAATTTCGTTACACTTGCACATTGATTTGATAACATGTAACCGTATTTAATTATTATTTTTCATATAAGTAATTCAAAACACCTCTATATTGTCAATCAACATACGATAACTGGCATTTTTAAGCATTCATTAATCTAACTCAATAATATAATTACATTTTCATGCTTCTCTTAGAAAATCCTTGAGATTAATAGGTGGAAAATCGTTATAAAATCAAATATTTCGGCTATAATTATTCCATCGATTCGTTATCTACTTGAGTCATAGTGTCTTATTTAGATTTTAGTTTGGTTATGAGCTAGTCGTATCTATGGGCGTGCATTATTTGCTCAAAGCCGAAGAACCAAACCAATCGAGTTTGATGAGTTCGGTTCAGTTTCATAATTGAATTTATATTTTTTTATTTTTAAAAAAATTCAATATTTTGTTTTTGATTTTCGGCTTGATTTTAATGTTCATTTAACCGAACAAAATCGAAAAACGAAAATTTTATTAAAAAGTTTTATTATATTTTAATTTCACGTGGAATAAATTAAAATAAATTAAAAAGAATTTATTATATGTAAATATTTGATTGCAAAAGATAGAAGTTTCATGAAATCAAGTTGATATTATATAAATAAGATATGTGATTAGCAATATTTGCTTTTAGTCAAATTTCAATTTTTTCATTAACTGAATCATTTATACCGTATTAAATTTCAGTTTGGTAAGTTCGACTTTATCTAAATTTATATTAATTTGATTTTCTGAATAATAGATTTCAGTTATAACGGGTTTGACCAATTTTAAAATTGATCCATTCAAACCGACCGAATGTTGCCCCCTACACATCAACATTTTCGTCATAACACCAAAATAAGCTTGTTCGATCTTATTTGGAGTTGAAGACTTGTATTTGTTTTTAGTTCATTTCCGTTCCTTTAGCTGATGGTTTTGATTTCCTAGATGAAATACAGCAAGTCTGCTATGGATTTTATTGATTCAATATATTTTCATTTCATATTTCTTTTAATAAATACCTTTGATTGCGTGTATGTTATACGAATTATTTTCATTTATTATGAATAAGGTTGAATTAAACTGAAATTTTGATGAAGGTTGACCATCAAACCTCTGAAGTTGGGCTGCCATTGGCGAGTTAAGGCCCCCCCAACACTACAAACAACGTAGCAACCGCTAAAAAGAAGCCCAAAACCAGGACAGCCAGACGGGACAAAACCTCGGAATAATTATGCGCGACAATACAAGAAGTACGCCTGAATTTCTTAAGCGATGCCAAAACCAACGCACCACGGAGGGGAAGCCAAAGGAAAAGAGGCGTTTACATTCCATCCAATTCCAATATATTTATTTATCTAATAACTCATATTTATTTTCTTATATTTATACCACCCAAATCACTTATATCACAAAAAGATATCATCATTTTAACTTTTAAAAAGTAAATTACACATTTTTATATTTTACATCAAGAAGTAAAGAATGTGGCGGAGACTGGCCCTCTGCCAAAAGAATGTGAGGCCCATTTGACGGAGCGAGCAAAATTGTCTGAGCCAAACTAGCAAGGCTAAAACCGACTTAGTAAAGAGACAAACAAGAAGAAGGCGAGATGATCTGAACCCAAACCATTCAGCCATAAATGAGAACAAAGAAAGCATCCGGGCTAACTGTTACAGGAAAAAGGACCCGATCTGGTAGAGCCGACCCGAGAAAAGGCACAGTTCCACAGCATCTCTAACCCTCCCAAGGATGCACTAAGAGCTCATCATTGATCAAGGATTGACAACAAAACCATATCAGCCGGCCATCCTGTACCAACTAAAGCTCAGTCGACCAAATTAATCTCATCGACCTGAAGCTAACTAAGCTTGATCAATCAAACTAGAGTAGTAGGACGACAATCTCATACATGTAAAATATCATTAATACCCTAGAGTAGACTCATTTAAAATGGATAAAAATGTAATATTATCATTGTACCCCCTCCACTATAAATAGAGAAATTATTTTATGAATAAGACACAACAGATTACTACTCTCTCTCTCTCTCTATCTCTCTCACTTGCACATTATTCTTAGGGTGTGATTCATGGGCAAATCAAGATTCAACATACGCATGGGCAAAGAGGCATGTATGCAAAAAATGAAAGTTTAGACGTTAGATGTGTAAATAGATGACAATTGTGAGGTATGCATGTAAAATTCCCAAATTAAAAAAAAAAAAGGTTGATGTAGCATAAAACAATATTAGGAAGGCCAGAGCTAAAGCAGAAACCAGCCGATCATAAAATAGAGCAAATTATCAATAATACAGAATACTTACCTGTGGCTTATCCTTTACATGACTGGAGATACTGTGGTGAAGCCAGAAGCAAAAAAGTGAGCTAAATTACCTGCAATAACCTATCCCCTGTCAAAAACTTATTTTCCTAGCTTTCTTAATGTGCTAAAAATTAGAGAGATAGAGAGCCTCGTAATGCTGAGATGATCAAAAAGAGAGGAGAATGAGTTGTAATCAAGGGTGGAGATTAAAGGATTCTAAAATTAAATATCCCAGAAGCCCAAGCAGCAAGATATAATTTCAAGATAATATTTGTGATTAAAATGTAGATGAGCATGGTCTTCTAATGCAGTTTTCAGTTGTGACATTCATAGCAAATAATAATAAAAAAAAGCAATATGCGAATATTTTGGCACGATGTATTTCCCCACAGCATGTAAAATCAGCAATTGACTCAGAAATGTTAACATGCTCAAGAATATTCCAGAAGCTATTTTGGAGGATAGTTGAAGCTAGCATTTTACATCTTCTATTAGTTAATAGTATGAGCAACAAACAAATAGAACAAAATAGGCATTTTCTATTGATGAAGCACTACGTAAGTTGGGTAGCGGTATTAACAAGTAGAGGGTCAATCATATCCACACAGCCATGTTCTTAGTCAAGCAAAAATACTTCCGGGAAATATTCAGAATATATTTCATATAACGTTGTTGTAACTAATGCAAAAGAAACACGTTTAAGTTTTCTGTTTTGGTTTTTTTTTGTTTTTTTTTTCTTTGAATCAATTCATATTGTAGTTCAAGATTATATCCAATTGTTCTCATAAAATATTTGCTTGTTAAAACTCTAGTTTAAGAGTTTCTCAAAGCAGGACTGTCATATTTGCTTGTGTTTCCATCTTTTAACTAAAATCTTATAATATGCACTATTAGTTCGTCTAACTGTAACCAAGGAAATAAAAAAATCTTAAATGCTATATGAAAGCTCTTATACGAGTGAATGCGATGAAGTTCCCACATAACGATGATCTATGAACCAATAGAAGACACCAAAATTACGCATTTAAGCCGAGTTGTCAAATAATAGCTTACTTCTAGAGGAGGAAAGATTATACACATGATACGCTACAGAAAAGAAACATAAGAGTATAAGATAAATTAAGGCAATAAAAAAAAAAAACTCCCCTCTAACCCAACAACAACAAGCCTTTATCCCACTGAGGTCGGCCAAATGAATCCTTTTTCTCCATTGTGTCCTATAGAGTATCATATTTTCATATAAATCTAATAAATTAAGATCGTTTTTTATACAACATGCCCAAGTCTTTTTAGGTCTACCTCTTCTTTTCTTAACATAAGTCAAGTCTAAAACATTTATTTTCCTAACAGGATCATCAAATGTTCAACATTTATTGTAACAAATCATCTAAGACGACTCTTTCTAATATTATCTGCCACTGGAGCTACACCAACCCTTTCATGGATACATTCGTTTCGTATTTTTTCTCTAAGAGTCAAGCCACTCATCCACCTAAGCATTCTCATCTCACCAACACTTAACTTAGTTTCATGCCTCTCCTTTATAGGCCAACATTCTGTGCCATAAAGCATTATTTACATTAAAAACGTGTCAACACGAATTTTAAAGATATCTATCGGTAAGCGACAAGGATGAGGAGACATCGCGGAGCCCTCCAAAAAAAGTCCAGAACCGCGCACCTAGCCAATATCAGGAGAACAATACTTCCAAGACAAATAGGAAGAGATCGGCTCTTAGAGAATCTACCTGACAAGGCTCGTGAAAATGAATCTGGTGCCCTCCAACCAGGACAGGCCAAATGGGCAAAACGAACTGTCAGTTTGACCTCTACTAACTCTACGGTATACCTAGTGATATTGAGATGAAATATTATATTTAAAATGAGTTTTATAAATTATATCACCCAAAATTTACCATGGTTAAATACTATTCATTAGGTATAAACACAAGTGCAAGCATCGCTAAAGTAATATAGCCTTTTTTTTAATCCCAGAGTATCAAACCAACAGAGAAAGCCATTAATTTTAAATGACTTCAGAAAAGTTCTAGCCAATTTCAAAAAGTCTTAGCTTGGAAATTTAGTTGATGTAAAATGTGTTAGGAGATCCTACTAAATCGCTTCTACTCTTCTAAGTTCCTAATAAGCTAAATACACAAAGCTAAATGAAACAGAAAGTTCAAGCTAATTAGAGTTTCCCGCCCCTTGTAATGAAACTAGTAGCTACTGTAGTTGTAAATCAACTAAAATTTTTAAATAAACATGTGACAAATAGGAGCATATATATTCTTTACCCTCTTCCGAGTGCATAAATAAATGAGGTAAACCTAATTTCAATTCCTTAAATCTTAGATTACATTGGTTACCATTCTAGACTGTCACCCTAGAGCCACCAAATCATGCCCTAAATTTGGCTAACTTAGCTTTCATTCATTAAATCCTAGATCAAATTGGCTAGGATCCTAGCCTGTCGCCCTAGAGTTTCCAATTTACACCCATTATAATTCATCTCCCTATTTATTGGCACTAACCTAAGGACTGCTTTTCCTTCACCCTTTAGGTTAGTAAGACATTCATTAGTTGTTTGAAATTATAGCCCTCCTAGATCATTATGGGTTCACAATAATTTTTTACATCACAAATGACTAATTTGCAAGGTAAATTAAGTACAGATGAAATACCATCACATTCCATAAAGTAACATGATTTTGCTTTAATTTAAAACCTACACATGCTGCTAATCCATTACAAGATGAAGGAAAAAGGAAATTACTCAAATTGCATTAAGAAAACAACAAGACACATCATCTTATAGCACATCAAATTCAAATACTATGAAATAATTTGACACAAGATAATGTAAACACAATATACTTATCTTCTTCCCTGAGAAATGAAGAACTTCGCCCCAAAGTGTTCTCCTTGCAACCTTACAACAATTCCTCACACCTCTCACAGATTTCAAAGTAAAATACAAGAAAGAAAAGAAAATCTCTCACTTTTGTTTCAATTACCTGTAGTGCTCTATGCTTCCTGGACTTCTCTAATGTTCTCCTCTCGTTTCTGCCATGAATCCCCCAAGAAAAACCTCCAAATCATGTGAAAAACTGTCGGAAAAACTGTCCATACAGTTCTGGAGCCTAGGCGCCCAACTCCCTCTGTCGGCTAGCATTTTGAACTGGCGCCTAGGCACCAATATGCAATGCTTAAGCGCCGGAGTCTCTGGATTCTGCCGCTTAGTCGCCAGAAGTTGGCTCCTAGGCGCCAGTTCAGAGGTCAGTTTCTTGCTACAATTCGCTCCATTTCTTCAACCGTTATACCTGCAACCAAAAAATATAAAAATATCTTCTTTTAAAGTGCAATTTCATTCAAAATGTAAAGAAAATTAAGCATGTTAAAAGACATATCACATTTCTAGAGTAGTTAGCGCTATTCCCAACATATCGCACGGTCTAGAAGCCGTTTAGGCTAATGGCCGAGCAGCCTCATAGCGGTCCAACCCAGTGGCCGCCCAATTTCTCGTGGTCGGGTATCTGTGGGCCCCACGAGCCTTAATGGAATACCCTCATCGTACTTATGTACTTTAGGGGTATAACATGTAATTGTACAATGACCCATTTCTATTAATGGAGGGTTCATTTCATGAATAAAAGTTATGCAAATTTACTATTCAATATACTATTGCTCCTCTCTTTCTCTCTCTCTCTTCCTTCAGTGCTCTATTGCTTAGGCGTGTCTCCCGGACAGTTTTGGATTCAACATCCTAAAAAATGCAGAGAGCGTGAAGTCATGTCGTCGACATAAAGATGAGCACGACGATCAAAAAAAGAAGAGAGCAACCCAAGAGTAGTAGCTAACTTAGATCCACCACGACATGACATCAAGGAGCGTATGTTGCGAGAAATGTAGGAAATGAGAACTCGGGAGTATCGGGCCAGAGCACCGAAGTTCTGAGGGCCTTCACAGCCTTAATAGAAAATTGAGCCCCACAAGAGTAGAACCAACAAGAAGAGGTGGCGCTGGCGCACAACGATAGGAGGGCGAACAATGGTCCTGAGAGGGTCGACGACTTGCAGTATCAAGATAGCACAGGATCCGCGCAGGTGGAGAGACAAAGGTTAGAGCTCACCGAGGCGTCATGTCAATTGGAGATTTGTTCTCTCTCCAGATATCTAGAGCGAAGCCCCTCAAAAAACTCAAATTGCCGGGGTTTGGAGGCTTATAGGAGGCGGTCAGACCCCATCGATCATATTTTTGTATTTGAGTCAAACGTGTGCATGCTCAAAATCTCAGACGCGTTCAAGTGTTGTCTGTTTTTTATTGCTTTGAGGTCGTCAGCTTGGAAGTGGTTCCATGCATTTCCAGCAGAGAGCATCAACAACTTCACTGATTTCAGAAGATTGTTCTCGGTGTGATTTGCTAGTGCCCTTCGAGAGGTATCTCTACGACCTCAGCATAAACGAACCCCAAAACTTGGTCAAACTACCGGAGAGAGCCAACAAACACATGCTAGTAGAGGAAAGTACTCCCAAGCAAGAACCTGAAGGGCATCATGCCCAGAAGAGAGCTCCCCACTGACAGCGGGTTGAAGCCAAGGGAGAAACATAGGCCGCCCGTTCGACGATAATTCAAAGACGCTCAGTCTTCTTGCGACAACAGAGGGACCCGTTGGTACAACCAGGAAAGTGGTCATGCAAGGAACTGTGATCCGCGGCTAGGGGTGCAAAAGTTGACCCAACATGTCAACTCGACTCGAAGAAGGTTGACCCGAATATTTTTCAAGTCGGGTTTTGGTCAGAGGATTAGACCAGTCTATTATTTAGGTCGGGTTCGAGTTGACCTGATTTGGGTTGGATCATTTTCAGTTCAGATCCGAACCTGACCCACTGACCCAAATTGCCATCCATACGTGTGAAAAATTGACCTGACACACAAACATAACTCAAACTCGACCAGAAAAATCTGGCTTCGAATTGACCTGAATACTTTTTGAGTCGGGTTAGAGAATTTGACCTATTTATTATTTGGGTCAAGTTTTGGTTGACCCGATTCGAGTCGGGTCATTTTTGGGTAAGATCGGAACCTGACCCACGATCTGTATTGACACCCCTATCTGCGGCCAATCCAATACTATGAGAAACTGATACAATATTATGAACAACCATATGGTGATTATGAGGGCTTGCGAGCTACTCTTTTGAGGGTGTCAATGGCGGATATTGTGGACAACATCTAAGACAAAGAATATTTCAAGGAGCCTGCACCGGTGATAGCCAGAGGCTTTCTCGGAGATGCAAGGAAGTAATGTTAGTATTACCGGGATCACGGCCATGACACGGAGGAATGCAAACACCTTCAGAGTCTCATTAAAGAGTTGATAAAAGCTGAAAAGCTAAAGGAGTTAGTGGCCTGGTGACACTCGGGCTAAAGATATTTGAAAACTCCAACAATTGAGGCACAACCAAGGCCCGTCTGGACTAATGTCGTCCACGTCATCGGGATAGTCCTGACTATTCTCGGAGGAACATATTTCCCCCGATGGAGCTCCAGAAAGAGGTTTAGGACGAGCGATTTGTGTAATGTCGCCTCCATACAGAGGAGAGCATGTTGCCCTCCCATCATGTTCACTGACGATGACGTTCCCCCAACAAGGAAACCCTCATGGCGAGGCCATAGTTGTAATGGGTTATCATGAACTCCCAAGACAAGAGTATTCTTATCGACACTGGCAGCTCCGTCAACATCTCGTTCAGTGTTCGATAAACTAAACCTTTGGGTTGATTGGTTGGTAGTGCTGACCGATCTACTATTTGGTTTTATAGGTGAAAGAAAGAAGGCTTTGAGTGTAATGCCATTGGGGGCACCTGGGGCGAAGGGTAAAAACAGTTCTCAGAGACTGGAGATCCATTTTGGTGATGATTGGGGATAACAGGATAGAAGAGTTGGCCTTCTAATACAGAGTAGTCAGTACAGAGAGAGTTTCAGGACATCTTGTTTGATAGCTTACCACCATGGTCGACACTGTTTGGGGAGATTCAGGCTGCCGTCATTTCAGATCACGTTGAGTGAACTTTGGGAGGATCCAACGGTATATATGTGACTTGCAGACTCAGTTCAGTTCAGTAGTGATCTCCCAGAAAACTGGACCGATATGAATCACAGCTCGCAAGTAGGGAAATTTTCTCAAGTGTTTCGGGGGGACAATTAGAGGTGTGCAGTGTTTGGTTTTATCCAAAAAATCAGACCGAGCCGAATTAATAATTTGGTTTGACTTTAAATTAAAAGTTTGGATTTCAGTTTTTAAAAGTCAATATTTGGTTTTCAGTTCCCAATTCGATTTTAAGAAAACTTCAACCGTACCAATCGAGAACCAAAATTTACTTAACAGTGCAATATTTTTAGGCAGCTTAAGGACAATTGTTTGACTGATTCAGATTTTTAACAAATGAAGAGTTTTTTAGACATGTTTTTTTTTTTATTTTTAATGTATCGAGTATATATATTTTGGTTTATGTAAAATCGAACCAGTCAAACCAAATGTATCGAGTATATATATTTTGGTTTATGTAAAATCAAACCATCCAAACCGAATTAAATTTTGGTTTGACTTGTTCAATTTGTCAAAATTTTGTTTAGTTCGATAGTTGGGTTTCTTAATTTCGGTTCAAACCAGTTTGCCAAAATTTAAAACTGATCCATCTGAACCTACCGAATGCACCACCTAAAGTACAGTGCAACCTACAGTGGGACCTAAGTGCTCATATTGACGCGGTTGAGGACTCTTCAATTTAGAAGGATTACAATAGCCCCACTCACTTCATCGTGCAGATGGAAGCTTCGACGAATGAGGTTGAAGCTCTCCCAATCCCGAAATACTACTGCAGGATATCTCCTGAGAGGGAATACCCACAACTAAAGCGGGGGCCGATCCGCGCCTAGACCGAACCAACCCAAGTAATTTTGTGTTCATGGGGTTAGTCAATCCTATGGGGCCACTCCTAGTTATCCCATTATTATATTTTTACTTTTATAATATTTTAGGGTTAGTTTTTCTTTTTCATGTGTTTTGTATCGGAACACCCGCCGACGTCTCTTCTTCCCCTCGAGGGTTTTATCTTAGAGTTTCAGGTGGTACTTTAATTGGATCTTGGTCTCCAGGTGGTGATTATCTTCCCTATCCCTTTCTGCATCCCTCTCACTTCATTATCGAGCCTTCATCCTCGCTGCAGTCAGCCCAACAGTAGTTCTTTGTTGTTTTTCTTGCAATTCTTCTTCACTCAGTCATCCACCTCATTATAGCAGTCCCAAGACAGTCCTTCTTTCGCTGTCTCGCAGTCCCACGCCTTCCCCGCCGTTATCACCATCATTCTCGCTCGCTATTGCTGCCCAGAAACAATTGTTCTTGACTGTTTTTTGTTATTACAGCCACCTGGTCAATTGTTTCTCTCATCTCAGTCTGTTGTGCTTATCGCAACTCCTCCCATTCGCTGCCAATATTCCTCCCTTGCTGCAACAACCCAGGACCATCCTTACCAGTCGATTTGCTGTAGTCCAACCACTCCTCTTAGCTGCTGCCACCCTTCAAGTTCCTCCTTTTTCATGTCACAACCACCCGCAACCCCTTTCAACTGCCTACCTCCACTCCCGACCACCTAGTTGACCTTTAAAACCCATGGACCGAACACTAGTGTGGGCTTGTATCATGTTTTTTTTAATTTCTCCTTTCAAGCGTGTTTGATTATAACCACTTATTTGCGTTCAGTAATAATACTTCTTTTTTCCTATTGTAGTTTCATGTTTATTTTCTTCAAGTTTAATATCTATTATTCTTATCAACACATTCAAATCAGTAATTATAGGTTGTTGAGTTATATGTCAGTTGGAGAGAATATTGCATCCGGACTCCAGATGCAAATTTGCGTCCGGAGTCCAGTGAAAATTTGTCACGTGGCAAGTGAGTCCCACTGTAATACACTAGTTAGAAATGATTTGTAAAAAAGATGTGGGGCCCACTTGCCATGTGGCAAGTTTTCACTAGACTTAGAACACAAATTTGCATCCAGAGTCCGGATATAATAATTTTTCGTCAGTTTACGCGTAGGGTTATATCTTGTTAGCACAAAAGATTGCTATCAATTGGTAATTTCAGATTAGCTTACTGTTCTAATAAATTAATTATTTGGCTATCAGATTTTTTGCAGAATAAATCAAGATTATCATTTTTCTTAGTGAATTGTACTTAGAAGAAGAAATAAATTTGAGTGATGTTCTAAATCATTAAACATTTTTTTTTTCTTTTGCACTATAAGCCATAAACATACATAACTTTGTATTCTGATTTGTGGGTTAAAGAAATTTGGCAAGTTTCAAATCTTCCTTTATGGGTTGATGATTTGTAGAAAGGAGCTTGAAATACTAAGTGATCCAACTTAATCAAAACCACTTGAAAAAGCTTTTAGTTGCTCAACATTTGAAATATCAGAGTTTCAGGTTTTGAGCAATTATATTATTATTTAACAAGAATTGTCACTTAAAACATAAATAACGGATTTTATACAAAACATGGAACCATTGAGAAAGTAATTCAGTTAAAAATAAGAAAGCTGTTCAAATACCAATCCATCTTATGTCCATCAAGAATCAAGAAGCCATTCTGCAGGTATTGATACCATCTTTGCAGTCGCTTGTGAGATCATTGAAGGTTTCAATCTGCTTCTTAGCCCTCAGGGACACTTCAGTATCCACCTCCACCCTCATATACCCATCAAACTCAACGGGAACCCCACTGTTCAGCTTCATCGTCTCGAGGTACCACTCACTGTTCTCATCCCACAGGTCTCTAAAATCATTGAGGAAGTAAGTGGTGTACCTATCCTTCAGAGGGTCAAAGAAAGAGGTATCGGGCTCATCAGTGACAACATAAAGGTGTCTTCCATCATCAATTTTTTCACTGAGAGCAGAAAGCAGAGCATCAGGTGAAGTGTCCGCAGCAAGCTTTGGCCAGAGTAGAGTGTTTTTTGCCTTCTCCCCTCTTATTATATGAACTGCATCATAATCCCAATTCATTCTCGAAGCTATAGCTGCAACTATGTCCATTAATCTTCTGGACTTCCAAATTAGGTTCCACGGCCGCTGAATCACAGATTCAGTCTCTCCCTCGCAAACCCTGTACCAATAGTTATCCGGCTCAACAGTCCCAAACTTCCTCAAGATCAAAGCATCTTTCACGTCAACCAGCTGCATGGGTGTGACCTTGAAGTCCTCCACCAGATAAAGCTTCAGCTTATCCTTCTTCTGCCACTTATTCCAATCCTCCCAAAATTGGAGCTGGTCAAGGATGGAGGCTGAGTCTCTCAGATGCTCAAAATCAAAGTAAAACCTAAAATCCTTCCCCTCCTCATCCTGATTGCTCCAACTGTACTTGGAATTGAGGCACATACTAAGATCCATGACAAGTGTACGGTTCAAGTACCGAGCTTCCCCTAGAGCGCATAGAAAACTCCAAAGGTAATGGTTCATGTTCTTGCAGCGGTCGCCGCCGCCAGTATAAATCAAGTACTTGCCGCTGCTGAACTTGTTCTCGGACTCCACAACTGGAAGGGTATCGTTCACCGCCTCACCGATCACCGGCACGATCATCCCGGAAAGCGAATCAGCAGCGTCCTTGGCTCTGAAATTGCCGCCTTGGGTTGTCTTGCGCTTCTTGCGAGCGTTGATGCCGGTGTGATACTCGCCGATTTTCACGACGGAGTAGGTGCAGTTGGCAGATCGTCTGACATCGAACCGGCGGTAATCTTTATAGAAGCCGGCACGCTTTGCCCCCTCAGGGCGAAAACGCCATGCCATATCGCAGGACATGCCATCGTCGCCGCCGCGCGCCGGCTTTCCAAAGCGATAGAAGTGAATGCTGCGGAACTTTTCGATGGCTGCGCGCATCATTGTGTGGAAGACCTCGGTATCGGTGCAGTCGACCGGTCCGTCGGCACAAATAAGTGAAGTAGCAGGCTCGGTCGCCTCATCTCCCGCAGAGTCCGTGGCGTCCAGCGATGAGGTTTTGGTGGAATTGTTGATGTGGGAAAGGGTAATGGCTGCGGAGTCCAGGGTGGAATTGGGTGAGAGGAAGTCGTCGCCGGTGTGAGCAGCGGAATCGTCGGAGCGCAAGGTGGCATTGGATGTCGAGGTGAGGAAGGAAGTGAGCTTGGCGGATGGATGGAGAAGAGGATCTTCGGGCTTGTAGGTCGCGGCGATGATTGTGAAGGTGAGGACGCCTACGACAAAAAGGGAGAAGCAGAGGTTGCCAATGAGATGGAGGGCGTTCTGCCCGAGAGTCTCCGGCCGAAAGCTCGCCGACCGCGAGATCAGCACTTGGCTCTTCATTGCTTGCAATGTGCCGCACGACGACACGATATCTCGCGGTGAAAGGCTGGAGAGGGAGGAGGAAGAAGGAATGGGTCGAAATTCGGATGCTAACTCGGGGATATGCGATGTGATCGTCAGTCCGTCTGCCGGAAACTTCTCTCTCGGCACGAGTCTTCTGCAGGTTGTTAGAGCTTTCGGCCTATTATTTTAAGAAGACAACGAAGATCGAAACTGCTTATTAAATATAAATTATATATTTATAATATAGATAAAAATATTTACAAACATAACATCAAAATTTATGCACTTTATGTATGCAACATCTATTTTTTATTATTAACTATTTTAATTTCTAAATTTTTTTAAATAACAAAAAAAATAAACAAAATTAGCTTCATATGGCTCCAAATTGGAAAAATTTTCTATTCGGATTCTAGAGCTAACTCTACGTGCAGACACCTAATAATATATCGCCATGTGTGTTATATCGGACTAACCTAAAAAATATTAAAGTAGAAGCGTAGACTCTGTAATAATTTTGAAATAAGTTCTGTGATTACACTTTAATAACTCTGAAATAATAATGTGAAGATTATTTCGGGGTTGTTTTGAGTTATTGATTAAAAACACATATATTTCACTTTAATAATTTCAAAATAATCCAAAAATAATTTAAAAATAATATCCTTAATATTAATTAAAAGTTATTGAAGTGAAATCATAAATAATATTTCAGAATTATTTCCAAACTTTTGAAATAAAATATATAAATTTCTCTACAATAAATCTAAATTAATACTAAAATAATATCAAAATAACCTCGCAGAAAATTTTTCCAGCGTTAGAGCTGAGAACAGCGACGGATCACGACGTACAAAGAACTCCGAAACTCGCTTCTCTCCTTCCGGTCCGCTCCTACCAGAAACCATCCGAGGATGGTAACCCTCGTCTCTCCCCCTTCCTCTCTCTGTCTTCCCCCGTGCGCTTTAGCTTCTCCAAATCCCGAAAAGCCGTCTTCCAACGGGATTTACTAAATCCTGGATTTAAGGCAAAACAGAAGAAAACGGGATTTGAGAACCTGTAGGATTTACGAATGCGTTTTTTGCCGTTTGGCAGGATTTAGTATAAATGCTGTATAAAACACCAGTGCTGATATTTCTCCTTGCGAGGAAGATCGGGAGATCGGGTATCTCACTTTCCTGCTGCTCTCCCGAGGCCAAGATCTATATAAGGTGAGAATGAACTTGACTGCTATTTTGATGCTTCGTCGAGAACCTAAGATGTTCAAGAAAAATCGTTTTGCTTTCTTTTGTGACTTTTTTCTGATAGGAATTATCAGACATTTTTTATTCTTCTTTGTGCTGATTAATGCATTCCCTGGATCAACTTTGATTGCCGTTAATAAAAATGACGTTTTCAATCCGTGATTGTTGTTATGTGGGGTGCCTTGAGAAAATTAGATCACATTTTTGCTACATAAGGGGTACTTGAGGTCAAGGGTGATTTTTATTTTCTTATGATTCGATTAAATCCTTTAAAAGTTTCAACAATGATTGTATCATTCGACAGTTCTACCTTGTATTTGGTGGAATATGTCCGGCCAAGCAATCTCAAGATTGCTGAACGTAGAAGCAGGTTCGAGTGGTTAGGAATTCAATTACCTATAGAGTTTGGAGAACCTTTAAACAGTGAATGCCTGTAATTTATAGTCTTTTAAAATTTCATAATAATCTGGCAATTCAAGTATGTTTTTATCAGCATAAGTTAGATTAGTCGGATTTAGAGGATGATACCGGGGTTAACCCAAACCACAGTAGAAAAAGCAAATATTATTACTGAAAGCCAATTAGGTAGATACAACTCACACAATGAAAGGGAAATGTAATAACACAAGCAAACAAACACAACTAAAATGTATCCCAAGACGGAGGTCGGCAAGGTAGGTTGGGGTTTTGGAAGGCGGTGGATTCAACGGGTAAGGTTTCTAGAAGGTGCATGAGTTGCGGTAAGGCCTGTTGAGGGATGAAACAACGACAAAGAGGCACGAGGGATGGATTTGGGCGGCTTGAACAATGAGGATAGCACGGGTAACGATTGGGAAAACAACTAGGTAGTGGTAGAGGGTGGTAAGTGCGGTTGGAATGGTTGCGATAGCGAAGGGAGGCAAATTCGGGAAGGCAGCAGCACAGGAAGCGGTAGGGCACAGGTTATGGAGGTGGCGGCCCGTTGGAAGGGGAGGCTTGGTGGCTGGGAAGAAAGGAAAAGGTAGGGACAATAACTCCTTTTTTTTATGGATGGTGACAACAAACAAAAAAGCAGTTGGCTGCTGTTTGAAGATAAAAAACTGCAGGAAGAAGCAACATGATACCTATTCTAGGTGGCTGCAACAAGGATGGAGTGGCTGGGAGCAATGTGGGAGGATGTAGAATGGGATAAGGGAAGATAATCGCTACCTCAAGAGAGAGATATAGCCAGAACACCACTCAATCTCTTAGATACAATCTCTGAAGGGAGAAATAGACATTGGTGACTATCCTAAACAAACTCACGCCAAAAACTAACCCTAAAACATTAGGAATTTAAATATATAATAATAGGATAACGAGGAGTGGCCCAGGAGGGCCGACCGACTCTATATCAACGAGCAAACTTTGACTGATTCATGACTGATAAAATTTGACTGATTCACATTGACTTTGCCCATCCGTGATAATTGAAATTTATAGGATCAAAATATGATAATTAGACATATGTAAAAAATAAATATATGGTTGATATTAAATTATCTTGTGCTAGCTTAATATTAAAATTTATGATAATATAATGACAAATAAAAGCAGAATTTTTTAGTGATTCACATTTTTTATTAACGACCCCGATTGAACTCATCATACATTTTTTAATTAAAAATTAAATAATTAGTAACTTATTACCAAAAAAAATGCAATAGTTAATAATTACTACATTCTATTTATGGATTAGAAGATTATTATGTTATATTTAAGATGTTGATTATACTTTATTAAAGTAAAGTTGGTAGTGATTTTTTTATTAGTTTAGGTTTAATATCAGATCTACATATTTATTAAGCCCCGATTTTGATTATTTGTTTATTTACTCTTAAGCTTGAAACAAATAACAAACTAAATATCAGGATTTATGTAAATGTGTTTAATCAGATTTGTTTTTTAGTTTAACGAAATTTTGAAATCCTAATAATGATATTTGCAGTCAGTCTGTTTAGAGTGATTGGTTGATTGATTTATTAAAACAACCGATTGACAAATTTTGCTCAACTGTATTATAAATTAATTTTTTTGATTTAACTGAACTTTTCCACAAACAAAACAAAAAAATGTAACCCAAAATGACTCGTAGTTTGGAACAAAAAATGATCAGTGATTTCATAAACCAAAACACAATCAACTAAATATGCTAGATTAAATTTGTTTTATCTGTTTAAACCAATTAATGCACACCACTAGATTCATGCCAAAACGTTTCCAAGATTTAATCTCATTAGTAATTTTTAAATTCATATTTATAGGATTTATTAAATTCTAGTTCAGTTATGACCTAATTTTAGCCAAACAAATGCATTGTTTTTGTTAAACTATGCATTCTAAATGCATACTCTAAGCTTTATAGATTCTTTTTTTAGATTAATATGTATCACATGATGCAGGGTCAGTGGTCATTGACATTAAGATATAGGCAAGGCATGAGAGATCCCACTTTTTAAAATATTATAGGACCCACATATAGGTTGGACACAATATTTCGGTGCATGCAAATTTTTACGAGCTTTAAACTAATTATAATGATTAAAGGAAATAAAATCATATTTCTTATGAAATAATAATTTAGCACAATAAATCCTCTTATTAGAAGCATTGAATTGTTTATACGAATAAAAAATAAAAAAAATGAGTATGTAGTATCATAACTAGCATTGTCCTTTAGCCTTTCAAATTGAAAGAAAAAAAATAAGAGTAAAGCAAAAGCCAATAGTTGTGTCTTGGTCTCATTTGCTTAATGCACTCTCGAATACACACACACAAATTTATTTGTCTATGTCATGTCTATTGTGCTGGAAAATATTTTAGTTTTAGTTTAAACGGAAGTATGAATTTTACTCTAGGCATTTAATAATATGATTTGCTAGTCTTTTCAAGCAATTTATATCCTATGAAATAACAAAATTACATATATTTATCTTATTAGACCCGAGACACAATAAAAAAACTCCTTCATCGAAGTCTTCTCTAAATAAATTTTCTTCTTATGTATATTCTTCTTACTAGTCTATTCAAGCAATTTATATCCTATGAAATGACAAAATTACATATATTTATCTTATTATACCCGAGACGCAATAAAAAAAACTCCTTCATCGAATTGTTTTCTAAAGAAATTTTATTCTTATGTATATTCTTTTCTTCCAATAAGAAGATGCAATTTTGTGTATAACCATTATCATTTTTCTATTAATGATAGAGATAAAAAACTAGCTCAAATATATCATGGAAGTTATCAAATTTAATGGGCCTCTTAAATTTGAAAATTAATTAAATATGTTTTGATTAAAATGATATGTTATCATTTTAATTAAACTTTAAAATGCCGTGAAACGTTGTTTCCAACATTTCCTCACTTGGCTCATTAACTTATTATCATATGAGTTTATTATCTTCCTTAGTCTAAAACCTCAAACAAAAGAATAAAAAAATAATGTATGATAATGGTAAGTTTTGTAAATTGAGTATTACTTTCCATATATTATGATATACTATTTTCTTCTATGTTATCACCATGTGTAGTATATATACTTTATGAACTACTAATGATTTATTGTGAATCTTTATGTACTATTTAATTTGTTATATCACAGTTCTCTAAAATTTATGCATGCAAACAAAAATGAGAAAATAAGTTTAAATTTTACAATTTTAAATATCAAATATTATTTTAACATGAAAAATATATCTTAACTACACATTTACATAATATAATTGAGAGGTTTGTGCTACACATGTTCTCTACAACTTTGCGGGTAATTCTTGATTAAAAGATCTGCAATGGTCAACATAGTGTTGATATGCCCAATTATGGCTTTGTATGCTTTAAAATTTACTCCAATGACTAATTCCTCATGTCGATATGCTTATTTTGACTCTCATTTTTTTGTTCTTTAACCAAAAATACTATAGTAAAATTATCACACAAGAACCTTAGAGCTTAGAAATATAATAACTATTTTAAGCTGTGAAATAAAACTCCAAAGTCAAAAAATTGTGGCATTGCTTCAGCATATGAGACAAATTTTGTCTCTATAGTTGTAGTTTCCATTAAGGATTGTTTTACATTTTTTTTAAAAGAATTACCTCTCATCTTAATAGAAAGATACATCTAGATGTTGATTTTCTGGAGTCAAGACATGAACAATGTCTGAATATGAATATTTTATCACTTCAAGCTAATCGACTTTTTTTTTTTTGGTAGATAGGCGGTAGATAGGCCTATAGGTTTTTCTTTTTTTTTTTTGGTAGATAGGCCTATAGGTTTTTTTTTTTTCATTTGAAGATGCCTCATGGTTCTTTTTCTTTGTTGTTTTCCAATTATTTCGAACTAGAATTACTTATACTACATTTGCAATGTCAGGTCTTGTATTTACCTACACGTACATTAAGCTTCAAATAATTGAAGCTCAAAAATCTTATTCACCTGTATTTTTTAATCAATTTTTGGGCACTTATTTGAATTGAATTTATCATTTTTGATAATAGGTGACACATAATGAATAATTTTTCAACCAAAATTTATCAAAATATTTATTGATATAGGGTTCAGATAGGAACTTACACAGAAATTAGGACAAAATAAAATAGTTTAGTTCACCAACACAAAACAATATAGCTCGAATACATAAAATATAAACTCCTATAATTCAAGAGGTAGGCGATTTCACCTTAATGTTAACGCTAAGATTTAAGTCAGCAATCATACTTGCATAACATAACCCTAACCTATTCATATTGATACCCCACAATAATAACTATCAAAAGTCTAAATTGCCCTTTTAGCCTTGCATCAAAGATAAGTCTTTAAATTATTTGGTGGGCTTGGCGCGGTGGAAAACGTTGTAGGTGCCAACCTAGCATTACTCATATCCCAATAAGACACCATGTCCCTCAAGGCGGAAAATAAAAATTGTTGCTTTGTCAAGTCGTAT